ACGACAACTCTGGTCAGTATTGCTCGGAAATGTGCATCCTGTTCTATCCTGCTGACTCCATTCTTTTACAGCTGTGCCCCAGTGGCGGAGGGAACCTCAGCCGAACTACAACAATTTCGTTAGGCGGGCTCCTCGGCCTGACGAGCGACGGAACGACGATACTCAGCATGCCAGGAAGAAGCCGAGAATGTGCGATGTTCGGCCGGAAGATCGGGGGCGTGACAACGACGGCGGCAGTGCCGGCGGCGGCGTCAGCGGCGGAAACAATCACCACCCACACCCCCACCATCATCATCCCCAGCGCCAACAACCGCCCGTGCACGACGCCAACGCTCTCCACGAGAAGCGGCGCATACCCTACGACGAGTACAAGAATAAGAAGGGCCGATCGGGGCCGGAGTGCACACCGTCGATGCTGAACCGCCCGCTCGAGGGCGATTTTTCGTCCCCCGAACGCGCACCACGCCCGCGCACGCCCGGGAAAGATACAGATATCGAACTCGACTTCGGCGACTCCTCGCCTGGTCCGCGGGAGCTGGCTCTTCCCCCACAGCCGGCGCTGCCTGCGCCTTCAGCGCCGGCCCGGCCCGCGCCTAGTTCATCTGCTGCTCGTGTAGCCCCGCCCTCTGGGTCTGTGGGTACAAGCGCGGCAACGTCGGTGAGCGCACTCGGGTTGGACACTGACCCGAAGTACAATGCCGCGTTCATGGCCGCCACCAGTGAGCTCGGCGTGTCTTCTCTCCTCCGCCTTCCGTGAACTCATTCGCTGGTGGATTGCAGACGATGTAACGTTGATTGTGAACCATTGGGAGGGGAGCCCGCGCAAATCTACTGTCTGATTTTATTCTATTCGATTGATTATCTGTTTTCGCTCTTGTACATTCCGAGCGCTTGTACTTCTTTTCGTCTTGCTTGTTGTGTATTTGCTTTGCATCATGCTTTCGTCTTTTTATATCTTTTGTTTACTGCTCAATCTATGGCACTAAGTGTAACTAGAAACAAATTCTGGGCCGCCGCCTGTTTTATATGTCATTCATATTCATTGCATGCTGCATCGTCATAACTGTCTGGGCCCATTAGTGTAATAACTGGTGTACTTATCATAAATAAGACGGATCGGAGAAGATGGATGGAGGAAGAAAGAACGGAAGAGAATGTGAACAGCATTGGTTGTATTAGTGCGGAAAAGCAACTGCGGAGCCCAAGAGTGAGTGAGTTCGTGATTGGAGGGAAGGGGAAGGGGAGAAGGGGCAGGAATCGGTGTCGAGCGGACGAAAATATGCGGAAGGGACACGGACGGGAAACCAAGGATATATGCACGGTGTACGCGAAGCAGCGAACGAAGAGAAGAAAAGAGAAAAATCCAAATGACTGGCCGGGTAAGAGTATATCAACAGGCAGGCAACCCTTATCCAGAGAGCGCGAGAACAAACGAAAAAAAAACGAAAGCATAGCGAGGAGCGGATGCGAACGGCAGAACCAGCGAACGAAGTAGACAGGAGCGGGCACAAGGACAGAAAAGAAACGGGAAGGCGTATGAGAGACAACAGGGCGATCACCCGCAGTGGCACGTCAGGATCCGGATGATGAGCGGCGGCCGCGGCGGCTCCTGCTCGTACGCGCGCTGCCCGTCGTACCCCGCACCGTTCGCCACACCGACCTCTCCGCCGTGCGCGCGCACGTTGCTCAGCGCAGGCGGCGCGGGGCTCACCATCGCCGGCGAGCGCCCGTAGCCGCCGCCACCGCCGACCCCCGTGTACGAGTCATCCAGGTCCGACACCGCCGCGGGCACCGCGGGCGCGACGGGCGGCGCGCCCGTGCCGTACTCCCCGCCGCCGAGCGCGGGTGCGCTGGCGTACGGGTGGCCACCCGCGCCCGCGTGTTGCTGCATGCTCGCACGGCGCGCGGGCGACGCGGGTGGGATGCCGACCTGCGCGGCGGCGCTGTTCGGCGTCGCGTTGCCGGGCACGAGCGCCGCGGGGAGCTTGCGTGTCTTTGAGCCATGCCGCACGAGCGCGGGCGAGGGCGGCACGACGTTCGAAGCCGTGGGCTGCTGCGCGGACGCGCGCCGCCGCTGCTCGTCGTCGCGCCTCCCGCGGTCGTCCCGGCGCCTGTCGGGCGTGCCCTGGGCGGAGCTGGAACTCGCAAGCTAGAAAGAGACTGTTAAGAATAGGGAAGTGGCGGAGAGCGAAAAGTTTGAACGCACGACTTGCGATTCCCATCCCCGGCCTCCATTCAACTCGTTCCAATCATACCTCGAATCATCCGCCTCGCCCAGGTTCTTCAGGACCTTCGAGAACAGCTCGCGCAGGAATTCGTAGTCGGGCGTCTCCTCGAAGCCGAGCTTGCGGACGTAGTTCAGATATATGCTGAACTCTTCTATTTTTGAGCGCAGAGATACTTGTCAGCAAGTGCGATCTCGATCGGAGGCGAACAGCGCCGGAAGACGCACCCGGGAAGCTGTCGCACAGCTCTTTGATCGGCGTGGTCTGTTTTTTCTCGCCGATCTTCTCGTACTTCTGCTTGTTGGTGGCGGCTTTGAGGCCTTGCCACGGCAGGCTGCCCCGCAGGAAGTATAGGAAAACATGCCCGAGTGCTTCCAAGTCGTCCCTTCGCGACTGCTCTGTTCGGCGAGAGCGGGAAATATATACAGCGGCACATCGCCAAGGCTAATTTTAAGCAAAGAGCGACGGATACAGACAGCATAGCGACGACGTACCGCGGCCAAGATGGGTATTGATGCTCATGTAGCGCGCAGTCCCGCTGAGGCTCTTCCGCTCGCGGTAGGGGATGTGCTGCTTCGTCTTGGGATCGCGGTACTGCTTGGCCATGCCGAAGTCGACGACGTGCACGAGGTTCGCGTGCTTCGTCCCCGGGCGGCCGATGAGGAAGTTGTCGGGCTTGATGTCGCGGTAGATGAGGTTCTTCTCGTGTATGATCTGCACGCGCGAAATCTGCGCAAAAACATTACGTCCGCGAAATGAGTGTGGTTGCTAGGGCGGGCGGCAGATTTACGGAGCGGGAGCGGTGCGCACCATTTGCCGCGCGGTCATGCAGACGGTCTTGACGGAGAATTTGCGCCCGCACATGTCGAAGAGGTCCTCCAGGCTCGGGCCCAGCAGGTCGATGACGAGGATGTTGTGCAGGCCCTCCTGCCCAAAGTGGTAGATCTGCGGGATGCCGGCTGTGCAACGGCGGCGGAACGAGGGAGTAGAGCAGAGCAGAATAGAAACAGAACAGAATAGACATCAGCTATCAGACGGCCGACACGGCGTCCACAGGGGCGGGAATGAAAGGACTGACTGCATCCCGCGAGGATCCGGTACGAGCGGCACTCGTCGCGCAGCTGCGGCGCGTCGGACTTGCGCGGTTCCTGTCAAGCGGAGCGCGCCCGGTCAGCCCCATCCGCCTCCACGACGTGCGCATCCGCACGACTCAGTAGCAAATAATGCACGCACAAACTTGATCGCGACCGTCTGAGAGTTGAGGAGATTCGTGCCTGCAGTCGACCGTTAGCATACCGTCTACGCAGTGGGCGCTAGCGGGGTGACCGCCCCATCCCGCTCTGTCCCATCGCAAGCGGCGGCAAGGGCGCACACACCTTCGAAGATGACGCCAAACGAGCCCTCGCCGATCTTTTTGCCGACGCGGTAGTGGACGCCGACGAGGTTGGTGGTCGACGACGAGTGGGCGCCGTGCGAGGCCATGGCCGACGATGAGGACAAGGAAAGGGAGACAGAGCAGGCGACGACGAGGTCGGGTGAAGGAAGACGCTCGAGTTGCCCGCTGCGTTCTGAGCTCTCCCGAATTCCCGCCTCGTGGCCATAGTTTCCTTTTCTGGACATGATCGACGCTTTTGCTGGGCTGAAAAAAAAATCCCTCGTTGTATGTACACTGTACATGCAAATATGAACAAAACATTCTTGATTTTTTCTGACTTTGGGTACCACATAGGATTGAGTGCCTCCTGGTATAAAGACTCTCACGCGCTGCTTGTGTATTTATCCAAATTACCATGATTACACACTTGACTTGCGTCTGGTTGACCGTTCAACGAAACGGATAAAAATATACTGACACTTGGAAGACACAGTAGTATACGCAGTTGATTGGTATTTTTCCTGTTCAACGCCGAGAAACTTCTCTCTGAGCTCTTGAGTCGTGGTGCATTACTTACAGCTCTGATGAAGAAGGAAGCAAGGAACGTGGGAACGAGCTACTTTGTGGCTAGCACAGCGTAACACTTTTCGCTCAACTTCAACTTAGACTTGCCTCGCATCTTCGCGCACTTGCACTGATTCAGAAATCTGACATCTTGTCATATTATTTCTCATGTTCCAGGAAATGCTGTCTAACCTTGAACATTTAAAGCCATGTCGAATGGATAAAGCTTGAGCCTGAGGAGCTGGAAACAAGGATAAAATCCCTTCCTTTTAGATTTAAGGTTGCCAAAGAATTGCAGACCCGTTGCCGGTATCAAAATGAAGCTTCCCGAAATAGGGTCACCTTTTTCGTTGTGATATCATCAGACACCTTCTTAACGTGAAGCAAGTCTGCTGGGCTGAAGATGATCCTGTATTCTTTCCACTTCCGAAACGAGGCTATCCTTGCATATCGTCTCTGCTGGTCTTTTATTTTGTCTAATCACTAGGGAAGAATATATTTTCACCTACAATGTCAGGTTTACATTGGGAAACATTAAATTTCCTGGGCTCAAAAGGTTTTTTCCCTCACACTGCAACTGCTCGAACAAAAAGATGCAGGTAGGAAATCACTTATATACTACCTTGCACTCCATACTGAACATTGCCGGAAATACAATGCATACAATCACCACACAATCCTTGGCTGTCTTTTGATCGTGCTCTTGGTGAGGATGGTCCTGCATGGCATGACAGATTTACTGCACCTGCTAGGTATCCTGACAAATTATTATTGATTTTGAGGAAAGTAACAGAAGCTTATGTACATGTATAGAGTAAATGCACATTAATGTTATTGCCGCAATAGCTCAGTTGGGAGAGCAGTAGACTGAAGTTCCACGCGATAGCGATCTTTCGATTTCTAAAGGTCCCCCGTTCGAACCGGGGTTGTGGCATAATTTTTACCGTTAGATGAAGCTTTTAGAATATCTAGGAGGGAGGGGAGGTCGAGGAGGTTGTTTCTATTGATTTCATGTTCTCGATACATTGCTTTGTTAGGCAATGAAGGCGTTAAGCTGGATTGAAAAGTTTATGTATATGCCAATTTTCATACATGCGACATGCTCGAAAAACAAGTGCTTCGACTTTATCTTGCCAAAATAGCCTCCATTGTCTATAAAAATATCCATGAGACTACATATATTGCTAAATATGTATGGATTTTTGGTGTAGAACGAAGAGGGAAATCGAGAAGATGTGGATTTTTCAAACAACACCGAAATTCCGGGATTATAGCACCCATGCTCGCCTGTAGACAACCGCTGATCTGTTCGACTTCAAACTCTACGCATAGTCGTGTCTAGCCATTTGACGTCGAAACACTCGGTTTTCGGGCATCTCGCAAGCTATGCAAACCAGTGTAAACCCAGCTTTATAATGAGTAAAGTACATTGCATTCGAATGTCCGTAAAGTGCGCAACAGACATAGCATACAAAAGCAAAAGCAAAATCGCACGTCTAATCGCTGTCAATGTAGATGACGTCGTCGTCGTCGTCCACTCCCCAGTCCGGTGTCGGACTGCGCTCGCGCTGCTTCTGTGCGGCGCGAGAGCTCCGCGTCGGCCCACGGGGCACGCGCGCCCCGCCCGCGCCCACAGGCCCGTCGGCTTCAGCGCGTCGCGAGGAGGCGCTGGTGAGCGCCTGTCCCTGGCCCCACCTGGCCTCGTCCGGCGTGTTCCCCTCCTCTCGGCCTTTGCCCTTCGCGCTTGCAGAGGCAGAGGCAGAAGAAGACGGTGTGCCAGAAGAATTCCGTCCGGAAAGCGTGTTGCCCGCGCCCCCAAAGTTCGAGGGTTCCGCCGACTCCGAGCCAGCACCATCTTCCGGCTTGGCCGGACGCTTGTACGGGATGACCTTGAAGCCAAAGAAAAGCTTGCCATGCGGCAAGTTTAGCGGGGCCGGTGCACTGGCGTCCGATTCGAGGCTGTCGTTCGTGACTATTCGCTTTTTGCTGAGAGACAGTAAACATCGCGGAAGAGACGACGAAAAGGACTGAGGACTCACTCTGTGCGATAGACTTTGCTTCCCTCCATCATATTCTCGACACCCCTCTGAGTGATCCCGCGTCCCTTCGTCTTCCGTCCAGCCAACGTCTCGCCTTTGCCTTTGAAACTCTCCCACTTATCTCCGTCTTTGGATACCGTAGTCTCTCCAGTAGAAGACCCGGCAAAAGCACCTGACAAAGACGAGGGCGGTCTCGATGAGCCAGGCGTAGACGAATTCAAGTCGATCTTGAGTTTCGATGCCATCGTCGGTGGCGGCGCCGCCTTCGGCCGCTCTGGCTCCTTATACCCCACAGGCGCCGCAAAATCGACTTCAAGGTCCGTGTCAACGATGCTGATACCTTCGCCACCCGGTTGCGTCTCCATTATTAGAAGGTCGAAGATAATACTGTTGTAACTAATCTCAATTATATCGCCTTGCGTCAAGGCGGAGAAATTCCGTAAAGCATGCTCCAAGCTGAAAAAAAAGGTCAAGACATCAGTATTTTGATTAGGATGGGGATTGGCAAGGGTCCGCTTACACAGCTTTCGGGTCAGATATCTCTAGGAAATGTACAGACTGCGCCTGTAGCTTGACGAGCTTGCCCTTTGGAAGCTCCGCGCCCGTAATACGGATCGGGTCGCCTTCGTTAAGCCGCAGTGACTTCATCATCCAGTACGGCAGATGGACGCAGCCCTCTTCGGCGATAAATTCAAGGACACCTGCATGTGTTGAGGCGCCCGGGTTCTGCGGGTTGTTGAGCTTGAACATCCACGGGGATTCCAGATCTAAAGAAGTCAAGCTCGCCAACGCAGATGGCGGCAGGATGACTGGCCCGATTGCATCATTAACAGACTGGTGTGCGGCGCGGCAGTTGGACTCACCTTTCCCGCCATAACTCAGGATAGTGCGCTCTTTGCCAGGCAGCATGGCCACACTGTACGCCTTCATATATTCATCGAAGTGGCGAGCTGGCCGTCTCATTTGCGGACCAAACCCGCCCCCGCCCGCGAACCCCCTGAGTAGGAGATGTGAACATGATATGTTCAGTCACGGAAGGATACGTACTGGGCGAGTTGGGCAAAGAGACCAGCGCCGCCGGCGCCAAACGGATCGTCGTCTCCAAACTATCGAGAGTGTAAACATCGATTCTGTGAACAGGATAAAACATCACTCACCATCGCCATATGATTTGAACGTGTTTCGAGTGTCGTGTGGTGGTCGTGATAGTCTAGAGACAAGATGTACGCGTCAGACGCGTCAGCGTAATGCGTGGCCTAATACGGAAATTGACGGTCACTCTTACTTTTGCCCAGCAGCCGTCTTCACGCGTCTTACTCGTTCTCTCCTCCCCTTTGCTCTTTCAAAATGTCTTCGCCGATGCAGCCAAAAGTTGTCGCGGGATCCGGAAACACCGGCGCGAACAGGGCTTTCAATGACAAGGCAAGTTTATTTTGTGATCGGGTTCGAGAAGAGACTGAAGCTGACGACGCGTCAATGTGTAGAGTAAACCGCAGGAAGTGCGTCTGTCGAATATGACAGCGGCAAAAGGTCTGGAAGTTCATCAAGGATTGGTGTGCAAAACTTGACATGTATGGTGGATTATAGCGATCAGCGACGCCGTACGGACGTCGTTGGGGCCGAAGGGTATGGACAAGATGGTGCGTTCATGCTGCTGAAATTAATTTGTAGATCGCCATCTTATGTCGAGCACTAGATTCAAACGCCGAAGGGCGAGGTTATCATCACGAACGATGGTGCTACCATCCTGAAGAGTATCCAGGCGCTACACCCTGCTGCTAAGATGGTACGCATATTGTCTGCTATTATTATGAGTATAAAATTCCAATCCCCTCCTTTAGCTTGTAGACCTGTCCATGGCACAAGATATCGAGGCTGGTGATGGTACGACATCGGTCGTCGTTCTTGCGGGAAGTCTGCTGGGAGCGGCAGAAAAAATGCTCGAAAAGGGGATGCACCCGACAATTGTCGCCGAGTCGTTCACGAAGGCTGCTATCAAATCGGTTGAATACCTAACGGAAATATCGACCCCAGTAGACTTGAGCGACAGGGCAAGTCTACTCCGCGCAGCGACCACGTCTTTGTACTCGAAGGTAAGCAATTTTCTGACTTGAACGCGAGCCAGAAGACTGAAGTAACTGCAGATCGTGTCTCAATATTCGTCGACGCTGGCGCCCATCGCCGTTTCTGCCGTCACTCGCCTAGCGACGGAGACCTCGTCGAACGTCGATCTGCGTGATGTGCGAATCGTGAAGAAGGTGGGCGGGACGATCGAGGATACCGAGCTGGTCGACGGGGTGGTTTTGAATCAAAATGTCGTAGTGGCCGGAGGCGGTCCGACGCGTGTGGAGAAGGCGAAGATCGGCATTATCCAGTTCCAGCTGAGCGCGCCCAAACCAGACGTGAGTCTCTCCTGTATGCTTCATTGTGCTGTCCAGCGGCTGAAGAGTGTTTTCTAGATGGACAACACCGTCGTCGTGAACGACTACCGCCAGATGGACAAGATCCTAAAAGAGGAGCGCCAGTACCTCCTCAACCTCTGCAAAAAGATCAAAAAGGCGAACTGCAACGTGCTGCTCATCCAGAAGTCGATCCTGCGCGACGCCGTCACGGAGCTCTCGCTGCACTTCCTCGCGAAGCTCAAGATCCTCGTCGTCAAGGACGTCGAGCGCGACGAGATCGAGTTCCTCTCGAAGAGCCTCGCGTGCAAGCCGATCTCGGACATCGAGGCCTTCGCGGAGGACAAGCTCGGCTACGCGGAGCTCGTCGAGGAGACGAGCAAGGCCGGCGCGAAGATCGTCAAGATCACGGGCGTGCGCAACCGCGGGCGCACGGTCAGCGTGCTCGCGATGGGCGGCAACTCGCTTGTGCTCGAGGAGAACGAGCGCAGTCTGCACGACGCGCTCTGCGTCGTGCGCTGCCTCGTCAAGAAGCGGTATGTTGCGCAAAACGTATACTCGCACTTTGTATCGACTAATTGATTTCTATCAGCGCGTTGATCGCTGGCGGCGGCGCCCCGGAGATCCACGTCTCGCGCGCGCTGTCGCAATACGCACATACCCTCAAGGGCATGGAGGCGTACTGCTTCCAGGCGTACGCGGACGCTCTCGAGGTCATCCCGACCACGCTCGCCGAGAACGCAGGCATGAACCCCATAGCGATCGTGACCGAGCTGCGCAACCGGCACGCGCTGGGCGAGCGCAACGCGGGCATCAACGTGCGGACGGTGAGTAGTCAAGGGATTTTTTTTTTGAACGGAGAGGGAGGTGCTGACTGTTTCTGAAGGGATTGATCTCGAATATCTTGGAAGAGGACGTGGTGCAGCCGCTCCTCGTGTCGACGAGCGCACTCGAGCTCGCGACGGAGACGGTCTGCTTACTCCTGCGTATCGACGACTATGTGGCGGCGCGGTAAAGACATACGTAGAAGAACGCAAACACACTGTACTTAATCTCACACTTGATTTCACTCCAACATTACTTGAGGGCCCCAATGCACCTGAATGAAAAGCCAGTAATTATACAAAACACATAGGTAGCGATACAAAGTAGCACAATCATGCAGCAGTCGCAGCAGCAGGCATACCCGCCGTCCCCAGTCCCGTTCCCGATCCCGACGCGGATCCCGAAGGGGCACCCGCCGCGCCGGCCTTCGCCCTGCTGCGCCCCCACTTCACGCTCACGCGCGCGCCGCCAAAGTCGAGGCCGGCCGCCCACGCCTCCGCGGCGCGCTCCGCCGCGGGGCGGTCGACGAAGTTCACGAACGCGCAGCGCGACTTGGCGACGTGCACGACGGACCGGATCGGCGCGGGCGCGGCGCCCGCCAGCGTCTGCGCGGCGCGCGTGCGCACGCTCTGCTCGGTTGCGTCGGCCGGGAGCGAGGAGAGGAAGAGGGA